AAAAGCAATCTCCTTTCCTAAAATATCTACGAGAGATAGATCTGCATTGACAATCAATGTTCCCTATGAGGTCCAGGAAAGAAAAAGAAAAGGAAGCAAATACCCATTCTTATTAGCTAGACCTGTACAAATAGAACCTCTGTTTACTTAACTGCGATGGAAGACAATGACAGCAGGAAGACCGAAGCACACCTCTCCCTTTCTTTTTTGTGTGGGGGGTACCGGGGATTAAATGTGGGTCTTTGCACTGGCGAAGCAAGCAGGTGGTGGAACCACTGAACTAAACTCCCAGGCCCACCCTCTCCCTTTCTTAAGCCAAAACTTAAATCCTACCATTTGGACTCAAGGAAGGACAGCATGCTTAAGAGACGAGAATCCCAGAATGTGCCTTGGTACAGAGAAGTACAGGGCCAAAGGTTCGCTGGGCAAAGTGCCCACCCACTGAGCACCCACTGGCTTTGGAAGGTGACCTTGTGGCACAGTGATCGTCTAGCAAGCAAGCATCCTGGAAGTAGGCTGCACAGGCTGGTGTACCCTCTCCTCTCCTTGGGAAGGGAAGAAAAGAGAGAGCTAGGGCACTTAGCTCCGAAGGGCTGGTGTCTCCCAGGATGCCTACAGTCAAGGAAGCTGGCATCAGATTTCAGCAAACAGGGTTTCATCAGACATGGTCCCTGGGTGGACGAGGCAGCCCTCAGAACATGGGGAAATTGCATGCAGAAAGCATATTACGGACTGATGTCCCAAAATTGTGGGCTGTTGAAATAGCAGTGTGTGATTTCTGCCCTCTAATTTCCCTCCTTGTGTTTTCTCCTCCCTGAACTGCTGAGTCCTGAGTGAGCAGCTCATCTCCAACTTCAAAGTCCCACGGTTTTGGGCTCTATTTCCTTTCATCCCATACCCACGATTCCAGGGAAGTCTGTACAACTGTAAGAAATCCCATGAGGCAGGGACTTCTTTTCTATTTTTCAACTTAGACAGCATTCTTAAAACAGATAATGATGGAAGAAGAGTTCTTGAAACCTACCTGAGACGAAAGCCCATTTGATAGAGGAGAAAACTGAGGCTGGGGAAGCCTGCCTGGCATGTGACCAGTTCCACATCATCTGCCTCTGAACTCAGGTCTACCATCACTGTACCACAAGCCTCAAGCACAAGTAAGTTTCTCCCACAACACTACGCATGAACATGTACAAATTACGTGTATGGATGTTCACAGATGTTACCCAGCATAATGAACAATGTCATGTACTCTTTATTAGAGCAGAGCATTATCTTCATTACATCAGCGGAGCCGAAGAAAAACAAGTTGTAGAGCAGTATGTCTGGTATAATCTCATTTCTGCTTCCCTTTCTTCAGCTAAAATAGCACTCTGGGCTGGGATTTAGCTCAGAGGCACCATGCCTGCCTCACACGCTCAAGGTCCTGAGGTGGATCCCCGTACCAGAGGAAAAAAATAGCACTCTGTGTATGTGCTTCAGGGCAACTGTGTGCAGGAGTGCGACCACCAAGTAGTTAACAATGGATTCTCCAGTGGGTGGTGAACTTTCATTCTTTTATTTATTTGGCATTGCTACATGCTTTTCAGCTGAGTGTGTACTGCTTCTGTAATTTAAAAACAATGAGCAAGAAATAATCATATTTGCTACTTACTAAACTCAGAGACCAGCACTGCGTGGGTGCCTCTACATGCACCATCTGATCTCATCTTCTCCAGGGCCCTGCAACATCGGACTCTGGCTGTACCCAAAGTGAGGGAATTGAAGCTTTCAGAGGACAAGAGTCTGCATGCGGGACTGTCAGAAATGAAGACATACTCAGATGAACCCTAAGAAGTCATTTCTTTTTTTTTTTTTAACCAAGATCAAACTCAGAACCTTGCACTTGTGAGGCAGGTGTGGTGCCGCTGAGCTAAATCCCCAGCCGCAGCAGTCATTTCTTTCTCGGTGGCACTCCACAGTGAAAAGGGAGTGCATCACTCATCGAGATGCCTGCCATTTGTCCTGAGCTGCTTCAAAGCAGCCACTGGCTGCTGTGTTGCTGAATCAAAGCTTGTCTGCTGCCTCCGTGTGCTGAGGCGCCTTGGCCACACCCCCTTTCCTGGCCTGTCCCCGGGCTCCAACATCCTCACCATTCTTGGCAATGATGCCTCCATGTGTGAATTCCATTAAAGGCTTGCTCACTGCTATTTCGGGCCATGCATTAGCACGTGGGCCTTCATTTGATGGGAGAAGGCCAGACACCCCAGGATGATGAAAGAAATTAAAATATCCTCTCCCTCCCCTCCACAGTCCCAGAAACCTTCATGCCCATTTGCTCCTGGGAGACTTGAGAATCCATGGTACGGAGAAACAGGGAGTGGGGGTGCAAAGGCACAAGCATCTTCATAATAGATGGGTCTTTGAATTTGGCTGCTCACCCCTCTTGGAATGGTCCCTCTCAGCTGTCCACATGGCTTACTCCTTCAGGTCTCAACACAAATATCAAACCAGCAAGGCTTCCCTGAGCATCACGTATCAACCACAGCTTCCTCCCCACCTCCTGCATTCCCTGAGCCCTTTGTTCCTTCACTTGCTGTGGTCATCTGACGTGTTTGGTTACTAGGATGTAAGATCCTTAAAGGCAGAGCTATTTTACTCACAGCTTTACTCCTAATACCTACACTGGTGCTGGTATGCTACAGATACAAAGGAGATGAAACGTATGAATGAGTCTATTGAAGGAGATTAAGGGCCAGAACTTGAGAAATCAATCAGTACAGGGTCTAGAGCCCCCTTCCCCCAGATATCACCCAATTAGAGAAACTTCAGTACAACAATTTGAAAGATCAGAAAAGCATCATCCCCACTCCAAAGCTGTTTTGGATCTGAGGTCCGCATGAATGAGAGGCCTTTGGGAAATAAACACACTAGGAAGTTGTGTGCAGTTAGAGTTCCACCCACTAACACTTGTTCAAAAACAAAAAGTCCAACTTGGATGAAAATAGCAGGAAGTTGTCCCCAAGGACTCCTGGTGAGATCATATTGCTTGGCTCTGTTGCTTCCATTTTTGTCAGGTCTCCTGCCTTCTGCTGACTTAAGAGGCCAGGACCTACATCCAACCCCACGATGCTTCTTGTCAAACAAGAGAGCTCTTCCTGCAGCATCCATGGAGTGTAGGGCAATAAAAATCACAATAGCAGTCGACCATTTACCTTGTGCTCTGTAAGCCCTTCATTTGCTCCACTTCAAGCCTTATAACCACTCCGTAACTCTAGACCTAAGCCAAGAATACAGATGATCCTAGTCTGATCTCTCTTGTTTTCTTTCTGTATGGCCCTATACAAGTGCCTATCCCTCTCTGAGTCAGTTTCTGAATCTCTGTATGAGACCATTGCATTCAGTGTTTTCTAAGGTATTGCCCTACTCTAACATCCTATGAGCTCTTACAAAAGTTGCAAAACAGGATGGAAGGACAGGGACTTAAGCCCTGAGATCAATTTCCAAAGACTTTCCATAAGATACCACCATAGGCCAGAAGCTCCATTCAAGGCAGAGCAGTTCAAATTAGACCCAGAGTGGTGACAAGGAACATTCAGACCAGAACTCAAGGCTTAGATTCAAGGCCCCTTGAGAGTGTCTGTTAAGAACAGACCTCCTAAAGAACTACAGGAAGATAACCCAAAGGAAAAGCCAGTCCAAGGAGGACCTGCACCCTCTGTGGACATGACCAGCCAGGTTGGTTTCAGGGAAGGAAGGAGACAGAAACATTTCAGTAAACCAGGAAGAGGCGGGTTTCATCCTGGAGGAGAGTAGCAAAATGACAGCAGTGCCCATCTTTCTGGCTTCCAAAGGCTGCCATTTACGGTACCATCAGAGGAGGAAAGATGTGAACGAAGACACTGGCCTGGACCAGCTCCTGGACTGTACTTTAACCACACTGGGGATGCCACTTAGCCTCCTTTGCAAGTGTGTGAAGAGCCCAAATTTGGAATAAATCATTGTCTCCCTTTCCACCGAAGCCAGGCAGCCATTCCCAGCCCTCTGGATGTGAGAAGGCCCTGCTCCATCTCTTTCTTGGCAGTAATGTGTCTGATTACTCATCACCTTCCAGGGGTTTTTAGAGGCTGCCAAGAGAGATGGGCAGCTGTCCAAGCCATGCATCCTTATCTGCGACATCTATGTGGGAGACGAAAGTGGGACTATTGATAGAGTCCCTTGGCCATGCAAGAAGAGCTCCTTATCAGCCAGGTGGCCAGAGTGGCTGGAGAATGAGCAACAGAAAGCCCTTGGCTGTGTCTACTTATCTCCTCAGTGACATGAATCAGGCACAACTACACCTGGCAGAAAATCAGTGTGAGGGCCAGGGATTTAGCTCAGTGGTTCTGCCACCTGCCTCGCAAGAGCAAGGATCCAAGTTGAATCCCCGGTATCAAAAAAAAAAGAGAAAAAAGAAAGTCAGTGTGGAGGTATCTGTGAGCCAGATCACTGCCCACGATGTGTGGGGTTAAGAAGACAGAGATCTGGGCCCAGTGAGGCCAGGAGACTGCTAACGATGTCCTTATTGGCAAAATCTTGGATTTACCTGACCCTGGAGAGATGGAACCATTAAGACCTGAAGGACCAAATCTCAGTACTCTGTTTGCCTCTCTCTCCTCCCTGCTCTTTTTCTCTAATTACCTCCTGCCATGTACTGGGCTGGAGCAGTCAAGCAGCTATTTCTAGGCTGTTCCCTCCCTAACTGCACACCTACACACACCTGTGTGCTGCTGCAAACTCCAAGAGGCACCAGAAATGTGGCCCAAGGAAATTTAAGCAAGACATTAAGCAGTCCAATAACGTCACAGCAAATAAGAGACTGTGGAAAAACTCCCTCTGCAGGATACTCCCTCAAAGGGACCAACGTTGAGAGCTTGGAATTACTCCACTAAACGCTTCCTTCCCAAACAGTGACACCTGCCTGTGTCCAGCACTAACATAGAAGTTAATTGTTTTCATCTCCAGCAGAGAAGGGGTCCACTTACTCATTTTTTTCCAGGTCCAGGATCAGTTCTCGCCCCTCAGCCATTACCCTGAGCTCAGCTTTGATGGGATGCTAAAAGCAACAGAAAAGAATGTCAGTTCCTAAAAGCAGGGACCAAGGGCTCACAGAGACGGACATGGGATCTAGCAAGGTGCTTGTACAGGGACCCACAGGAAGTAAGCAAGAAAAGGTCAATTGCATTTCCAGCCCAGACACGAAATGACCTCAGTCCCAGAGGGACCCAAATCCTCCCCCATCTGCTTTCTCCTGAGAAGCAAAGGAAAGGGATTCTAAACTGAGATGCGGTAGAAATGCAGGCTTGTGGTCTGGAAAAGGGAAACACAGGAAAATGTGATTTCCAACAGTAAATTTCCTGGGCATCAGACCTGGGTTCAAGGGTGAGGTCTGACACAAACGTCCCCTTTTGCGATACAAACATAATACTAATCAACCTCCTGAGGACTCGGGAGATAATGCAGCGCTGTGGATCACCACACCCTCAGCATGTGGGTGGATTCTCTTAATAGGGTCTTATTTTATTTTGGCCTTCAACTTGGAAAGCTCAGTCAGCCCAGAGGCGGCAACAAACCTCCAACTGAGGCTTCAGAAGCTTGAGTAGATTTATTTTACATAGGAGCAGTTTGCTAGTGGCCACAGGTGCTACTCTCCCTACCACAGTAGAACATTTAAGATACACAAATGGCCAATGAGCATGAAAAACATGTTCAACATCACAGGGAACGATATACCCCATCCTCCAAAAAACAACCACGTAAAAAGATATCGTAAACACAATCGACAATTTAAAACCCTAAATCATAATGAAATGGTGCATGCTGCAAAATCTCCTACCACTGAGAATTTAAACTGAAATCCATTCTCTGAAAAATAATTTTGACGATATAGAACAAGAGTTTTTCAATGTTTAGATCATTTGACTCAAGACTGTCTGAAGGGAACAAACAGAAGCACAGGCAAAGATTTGTACACAGAAGCTATTACTGTATGGATATGAACATAATACGAGTGAATGAATTATGAATGAAATAAAACCTAAATATCCAAAAATAAAATAATTAAACTACGATCCATTCATATGACAGACTACTAGTCATTAAATACAGTGACTTTAATTTTTAAATGATTGAGAAAGTAGACACAATAAATATTAGATAATAAAGGCTCAAAATATAACATTATTTTTTATTTAAAGGAAAAAATGTACAGAGAAATAAACCTCAAGGTTGCATAGTTACTCTGGGTAGTAGAAACATAAATTAATTTTATTTTATTTTGCACATCTTTCGATTTTATAATTTTGTATCATTGATGAAAAGGACTTTAATTACTTTTTACTTTATTACTGTGGAAATTTTCAAATAAATTAAAAAGCCAATTCATAGTAAGACCACACAGTTTGATAATTCAATTTAAGGCTGTTGAACTTCCTTTGAAAGAAGAAATCATTCATCTTAAAACGTTTACAAAGTTAAAACAGGACAGATTCTTTATTGTATTTTAAACATGAGTTCTCTAACTGGGGACCAAGGCACTGGTAAGTTCTTAAAATCCTTTCAATCCACAGAAGTCCTTGCTAGGATGGAGTCCCTCCGCTTCTTAAGGCCAATTGTAAAGCATACAGGTGGTTCGCTCTGGCCTGTCCAGGAAGGGAGGTCACCTGCTTCGCTTCCCCTGGCCAGGGCTGACTTTTCCAAGTGCGTTCTGTGCTTACTTGCTGCCAAATTCACTCCTCAGGGCCTGCACATCTTGGAGACCTCCAGGCAGCCAAGAGCACTGATGAGCTCTGAGCCTTCCAACCAGGAACTCTTGGGTGACCCTGCGCATCCCCTAAGTGGCCCTATTTGCCAGTCTTAGGAAGGAACATTTCAAAGCCACGGTAGGTAGCATGAAGCTGCGTGAAATATTTGTCCAGCCACTTTCACTACGAGACGCACTTTTAGTGTCTGGTGCCCTGATTTAGCTCTGCCAACACCCATTCTAATCTTGGGTTTTGGAGCAAGTACCCTGCCCAGTCACACTGAGCATCTGGGACACAGCCCCAAGAAGGCCTCTGAGAAAGAGCACAGCAGGAGAGCTGTAGGATTCCCTTATCTAAGAGGTAGGGCAGCCACGTGACAGCCCACATATCAAAGCACTGTCATCGCTCCTGCAAGGGACACAAGTTGCAACATGAATACTAATATTACTTTTTACGTGAGCAATCCAAACATAATTCTCCCTGTTCTGGAAGATGGTCAGACACTAATATTTAAAGTAAGACATTTCTTGATTCCAGGAAACATTTCAAGCAAAAAAATTAAACTGCATTTTAAGAGTCAAGGAAGCTTCCCTGCCCAGTTCTACCTAGCATCTTTCTCTTATAAATGCAACTCTGCCGTGGGAAGGGGTAGCCAGCCCACTGTTCATACATTTCCTGGGAAGAGTGAAAAGTCCTTCCTCACTAGGGCTAAATTAAATAACTAGTCCCATAGGTTACTGGAAATCTGTCCGGCTTCTTTGCATACTCTTCAAAGCTAACATTAAGTAGGGCCCGGGACTTAGCTCAGTGGTGCTGCCGCCTGCCTTGCAAGTAGAAGGACCTGAGTTTGACCCCCAGTACAAACAAACAAAAAAAAAAACACCTAACATTAAGTATACAACGTTTAATTCATATTTATTTAATAAATGAACCAATTACATAAATGAGGCTAGAAACCTAAGGGAATTCCCATTTTTAGTCTCTCTCTCTCTCCCCCCGCCCCCTCCCTCTCTCCAAATATTTATGGTGCCAGGCACTGTGCTGACTATTCCTACAGAATAGAATGACCCATGCTCTGAGCAGACAATTGTTAGGAACAAAGACAGGATCCAGTCCTCTACTTTGTTTCTCAGGCCCTTCCTGAGGATGCCGGGCATCCCACATCTGGAGGGAAAAAAGAAGCCTCTATAAAAAGTATCAGATCCATTCCTCAGGCAAGAATGGAAGGTTGAAATATCCACAATCTGAATTTTTAAAACTAATCTGCTCTTAGGACAGCCATCTATTAATTTGTCTAGACTTTTCCTGAAGCTATTCTCAGCCTTTCCTTGAAAAAATAAGTTCCATACATCTTCCTCTCTTTCCTTGCCCTGCAATTTTTTCTTTAGCTTCCCTTACCAAATCCAAGTTGGAGCATTAGGGGATATGTCTGTATTACTCTTATCTGAAAGAATTCTGGGCATTTCTCCTTTCCAGGCTCAACAGTCATACTGTTTGAAGTTTCTCCTGACTACCTCCTGCTGTAATCTTGCTCCTATATGTTATCCAACAAACCACAGGCCATTTGAACCCCAACAGACCTCTGAAACCAGCCCCTCCCCCAGCTCTCTTCATTTCTACCTCCTCTAAGGCCTATTTTATAAATGAATAAGAAACTCAAGTTCTTTAGTAAGTGTAAGGTCACATAGCGTGCCAACATTCACATCTCCTCTTCTGGCCTCACTGAAGCAGTAATCAAGAAGTAGAAAGAATATCCTAGTCACACACAGTTCCTTACTACAAGAACAACATACTATTTTCAGTTTTGTTCCTTCTTAAAGCCTGTGCATTTTGCTGGCCCAAGGAGCTTACACGATTTTAAGATGCATTAAAAATAGTTTAAATTATCCCTTTTCTCTCCAAGTACAGTATCCTATCGATAAAATGAAGCATACATTGTGTACAGCAAGAATGGCAAAGACAATATGTAATAAATTCCAATCAAAAGTGATTTTTGTGACACCACATTTGTCATTCGTTTGTGTCAGCATTAATGTGCATTTTCATTTCCTCAACTAACAGCGTTTGGAAATGTTCTAGAAATGTGTCACACACTGAAGGAAAGCCCCATCTGAGGTATCCCAAACCAATGCACAAAGCATACAGCAAGCCAGAAACGGAGCTATTGGCGACAACCAGGCCTCTGGAAAAGCCATGAAAGGCCCTCAAGCCTCACAGATGCAAGTTCTCAACTCCGGCCTTTGAAAAGGACAGCTTGAGTCTTACCTTTTCTCTCTTGGGGCTCTCTGAAGTCTTCCACTGAGGTATTACGAGTTCATGCTGTGGCCAGGGGCTGCCTTCCTCACTTCCTCCTACCAACATAAAACATACACCATGGGAATCCCAGACCTTCACATCCCAGCCAAACTATGCATGCACTTTCTGGAACAACCTCTGCCACAGGGAAAGAACTGCCCACGGGATCATCCCAAGTCCTGCTTGTTTCCAGGCGCTTGGTGCACTCTATGGGCCACTAACACACATTCTTCCAGGTGTTAGTGAGAGAGGACAAACAAGGTCTTTATACCTGCCAAGTTTACCTTCTAGAGGTGAGAGACAGAAAATCAACACACATTCTCAGGTGGTGCTAAATACCCTGAAAAAAAAATAGGAAGGCCACGGTAAATAGCAGAAGGTGTCTATTTGAGACAAGATGATCAGCAAAGATGACACACGATTGAGACCTCAGGGTCCAGGAGAAGGCACCATGCAACGATCTGGGGGAAGAGCAAGCCAGGTGGAAGGATGAGCAGGGGCAAAGCTGAGCAGAAGTGGCCTTGGCCTGAGGAAGAGGCAGAAGGCAGGCTAGCTAGAGTCAAGCAAGTGAGACGGAAAGTTGGTAAGAAATGTAGTCAGCAAGACAGCTCTGGGTCTGATAACACAGAGGCCATGGAAAGTGTCTGGATTTTATTATAAATAGACCTGGAAGGCACTGGATGTCTAAACGCAGAGTAACACGATCTGCATTGGGTTGAGTGGAGAACGGGGGAGGGTGGAGAGAGGGAGTGCAGAAGCAGGAAGGCCAGGCTGCAAGCTTGCTGGAGCCCCTGATGAGACACGACAGTGGCTCAGACGAGAATGACATCAGCCGGGAGGAATGAGTGGTAGAATTCTGTGTATCCTCTGGAGGTTCAGCCCATGGCCACTGTTCCCAGGGAGCTTTAGCATCTCACCGAAGATGACCCTCACCTGCCCATCTCACAGAGTCACTGAAGAACAATACGAAATTGCTTCCTGACTGCAAGGCATCCTCACATTAACTTGAGGTTCCTAATGGCAAGTGCACGTTTGTGTTTCCCTTCCTACTCTCCAAACCATTCCCACCACCCAGATCCCCTGCATTCTGGGCTAGGAGGTAGCAGCATTTCTATTTTACAAGAAAGGTAATGAAAACTACAGAAAAAACTTGTTCGAGGCGGTACAGACTTCAAACACTGGTTGCAGGCCATCTTAATAAAAGGGAGAATTTCCTAAGACCAAAGCAAATCAGTCTCCACGAGAACAGACCAAATCCAAAGGATTTGTGGAGTTAGACCTGAGGGGTCTCAATTCTGTTCTTTCTAAACCAACCACATCAATCGCATAGGATGTAATGCATGATATAAAAGATGGCTGGAGGTGTTCTGTTAGAGTGCTGTGATTATGACTGGTTATTAACTTTCCTTTTAGATTACTGACATAGGTATTTGCAATCCAAATATATCCTAAAAATAATGTCATTAGAGAGATTCATAAGTTGGCAAAAACCAAAAGCAATGCATTTACTTATTTACCAAATGTTTTCCATTTTTTTAATATGCCAAGTACTACAGTATATGCTTAATACCCATGGGGGAATGAGACAGGTACAGTCCCTGCCCTCGTGGCTCTGATAAGTCTACATTATTTTAAACAAAAAGGAGTTCTATAATATTTAACATACTATTTAAAGAAATTAAATAGGATGATCAAGAAAAAAAAATGCCAAAGCCCAGCGTGGCGGCACATGCTTGTAATCCCAGCACTCGGGAGGCTGAGGCAGGAGGATCGCTGTGAGTTTGAGACCAGCCTCGGCTACATAGTGAGTTCCAGGTCAATCTCAGCTACATAGTGAGACCCTGTCTCAAAAAACCAAAACAAAATAAAAAAAGAAAAAAATGCCAAGAGTAATCTGAAGTCTCAAAATAGAGGAGCATAGTTCACTTAAGAAACAATGTTCAAAACTTGGAAATAGGCAAGGGACAAGTAGAACATCTTTTCAGTGTCATATTTGGAGTACCTGTGCCCTTTTTTTTTTTTTTTTTTAAACTATTGACTAACCCCGGGCTCACTGTGGACCCACTGTGCCTCGGTTTCCCTTTCGCTCAGGATCTGGGAATGGCCCTCAAGCTCCAGCTGTCCGGGAAGTCAGCCACCTCGTCCTTGGCCTGGAGGAGTCTGCCCAGCGTCCACCCCGAGGTGCTCGCCTGGTTTGAAAACCAAGCTTACTGTTGGTCCCCGAAGGCAGTGGTCTGAAAGCCCGGCCGGTTCGCCGCCGACCTGAGGCCATGCTTTCTGGGGTGACAAGGACAGAGCCCGGGCACCGCCCCAGGGAACTTCCCTATCGCAGAATTAATGGGCAGCAGTCCCGAAGGATGGGCTCTAGGGCGATGGAGTCTGGCAGACCAGTCTGGAGACATCACCCAGCACACAAGCTGGAAGCGTCCTGTCCCCAGCCCTTTGCTGCACAGAAGGGGGAACTGAGGCCGCGAGCGGGCAGGGTAGAGTGGGGAGACAGTCCCGGCTTCGAGGGCGAGCGCCGACATCGCTCTGTGGCTTGGCCGCGGACAAAGCCCTTCTCTTTTGTGGACTTGGGTTTCCCAAGAGTGCAAAGGATGCGTCGGACTTGATCCTCATTCAGAGGGCGCCGGCCAGCTCAGCGGTCCGAATTGTAGAGCCCGCGATG